TTCGTGATTGAATAATCGTGCAATTGAATCCGGCTAACCTTCCTTGCGATACGACCCGGTGTTGAATCTTTCGATTCTACTCCGGTAAAAATACTTACAACACCCGTATGTGTTGTGATTGAGCCGAGTCTCGAAATAGCTAAGTCGAACCGAGAGGATACCGGCCTGTGCGCCCACGAGCCCTTGCACCCGCATCCGCGCCTTCGGCCCCGAACCCGCACGCCGCGCCCGAGCCCCACTCGGTCATTCTCCGTCCTTTCTTTATTGGGTGGCAAGTTATTAAACCTAGGTCTATAAATATTTGTGTAACCCTATTCTCCCTTCACTTGTTTATGCCGCAAAACCCTAAGTCCTATATTGCTACGCTGAACCCCAGGCCCTCGATCGCCCCACTCGATCCTCGTTTGCGTATCGCAAGTCATCCGCTGTTTAGTGCGGCCGTTATCACCAGCAGTGAACCATCCCTTCTTGAACCGTGCCGCCGTGAGCACCAGCAGCAAACCATCTCTACTAAACCACTCATCACGAAAGAGACCTGCATGCAACGCCCGGTGACCATCCCTGCTTGAACCTCGCTCCGTTGTTCGCGTACCGTCGCCATTCAGCGCCCCGTGAGCACCAACGGTGAACCACCATGCACGATCTATGTCCCCTTTTCGTTGTCCCAGGCCACCGTGAACGCGCTGCCGAGTACCNTAGAGCACGCGCAACGGCGATGAGCCAAGCAACATTGCCGAGCCACCCGATACACGCGCCAGCAGCCCCATTCAGCCCCTCTTCGTTCTTTTGTGTGATTTTCCTTGGGTGAACGGTTTGATGGTTGAAACCCCATGTTTTTATGTGCGTATATATGTGTATTGTTGAAACCCTATGCTTATATGCATGTTAGGATTAATTTTAATTGCTTTGTGTTGATCTTGAGTGGTTTAGTATGAAACCCTATCAGATCATGATAAAATCGTGAAACCCCTGTGGATTATGGAACATTTGAGTCCTTGTCCTTATGGTGAAGTCCTTGGACGATTTTAATGTATTTTGAGGCTTATGTAAATTTTTGAACTTGGTCTAGCCTTAGGATTTTGTAAAAATCTTGTTACATGTTATACTCGGCCAACATTAATGAAATTTTGAAGGTTTAACCCTCTGATGATGAGGTATGTTGTATAAAATTTTCAAGTTTAAACTCGACTTATAGTTATGTGTTTTGATGAGTTGAAGTTCTAGTCAGATTCTTGAAAAATCGATATAAAAGTGTGGTATTATGGGTTGAAATTTGGTGAATTGTGTTAAATTGCCTACATGTTTATTGTATCTAAATTTCATGTAAAAATTAGAATGTTTGTCTAGAGAACTAGAAAGTTCAGAGTTGGTCTGTTATCTTGCAAAAATATGTTCACCAGGTTAAAATGATTTCTAAGTGTTGATCTTTGGTGTTTTAATGTGCTTCTAGGTCTATTTTAATGTGGTAAAATTTCAATGAAAACGCCCGAGTGTATTTTCAAAAGGTTCGGTTGTGTTTGTACCCCTGTATGTTTTCCCAGGCATGTTCTCCTTGTCTGTGCCCTGTCCGCGCCCAGTATCGTGCCCAGCGAGCATCCCGCGTGTGTCCAGCGTGCCCAGCGATCTCCAATGTGCACCACCGCATCCCGAAGTGTCCCTGCTGTGCCAGTGCGCTTGGTGACCTTTCACAGTGCCCCAGTACCCTGCCCAGCGCCCCAGCACCCTCAGTTTCGCACCCCAACGCACCAGGTAAGGCCGGCACGCACCAGAAGCGCCCTGACCGAGCCCAGCTGTGCACAGTGCACAACCGCAACACCAAAGCGTGCCCCCGCTGAGTTTTCTCGAGCATTTTTCTTGTTTTTCCCGAACCACTTAACTCCTTTTGACTTGGTCAACCTCGTTTTGCATGCTGAGTCCATTTTTAATATTTTTAAATGTGCTTGCCGAGTCTAGCTTGCAAAACCAAATGTTCCAATGTTCACAGAACTACACGAACGACTTAGTTGAAATATGTTGGACTAAGTATGACTTTGTGTTTCCTTCTAAGGGTCAAGATGAAGTGTTGATCGTATTATCTTGACTAATTGTAGGTGTTTGACGTGCCGAGCTCTCTACCTACACGTGTTTATCGAGCAATCTCCTCCATCTATCCAGGTGGGTTGTATTTTAAGAATTTATATGTCGTAAATTATCTATTTCTTGTTGGTCTGGTATGATTAATGTATGCATGTGAACCATGTAGCCTATCGATACAAGCTGTTACGGCCGTCGATACGGTTGTCCCCGTGGATAATACGGTGCCCTTGTGAGGCAGTCTCATTAGTTTCTAATGAAAGGTTGTGCCCTTTTTTACTCCTGCCATTAGGGTAATGAATTTCCTTTCCGCGGCTAATGAAAGATGTGTACACTGGAGTAATGTTAATGGTGTGTGAGTATGAGATGTGACAAGATTGATCGATTTATGTTCAACTGCAACCATACCCTTCTTACATTATATATATATATATGTATATATATATATATATATATATTATTTATGTGCATAGCGGTGAGAAAAGTGGTATGTGCTCACCCCCATGTCCCCCCTCCTCTTCAGGTTGAGCAGGTGGCGAGCATGACGAGGAGAGGATGAGTGGCTGGTCTCATGTTTATGTTTATCTTGCTTTCGCTTTATGTTCTATGAACATGTTATTTGGGTCTTGCGAACATTATGTGTTAGTCTTTTAGACATGTTAAAATGCTTTCAAACTTGTGCTTTGACAATGTTGGGATTTAGATTGTTTTGAAAACCCTATGTTTGGATTCGTTTCATTTTGAAACATGTTAATTTGGATATTCATGAATGATGGGTTTGTTTGAATATAATGTTGGAGTTGACTATTCATGCTAATGTGTTATGTTGAATATCATGTGAATGTTTTTTTCGGATAATGAAATACATGTGAAAAATCGGGTAATGAATCCCCATGAGTTCAAATAGGACTTGAACTATGATAATGCCCAAGTTAAAGTTGATTTCGAAACTGAATTTCGAAAATGTTATCCTGATTTTTGAATAAGCCATGAATTATTTCTCAGATCAATGTAGGGCGTTACATCGACTATGTGGTCGTCGGCATGGTTGTTAGTGCGTCCCGATTGTGTAAGGGTTGTTTCTTGTTTAGTATATTTAGGTTAGCTTGTGCTTGAGTTAGGCATGTTTGTTAGTGTGTTTGTTCTTGGTGTTGTTTGTTTGTTGTTTGGTTCTTTCGTTTTGGAATTCTCCCAAACGTATGCATGAGGTGATTGGCCCGATTATCAGTTGGGCTAAGTTTCGGAAGAGGTCACAAGAGGAGGGGGGTGGTAGAGCCATGTCCTGATTTGTTGCTTCGGATGGTTCGAGACTAAGCTTGTCAAATTTCTCACTCACGCTCTCGTTACTTGGTTTGTCGTTTGGTGCTAAAATACGTCCACTCTTGGTACATATACACTCGAACAACAAATGGGTTACAAGCACCAAAGGTAGACAAAGAAGAAAACAAAGAGAAACAGAGAGAAACACGAAAAAAAAATAATCACAAGAAATAAGAGAAACCCGGAAAAAAAAGTGAATAGGCACACAATTATATTCCTAAATCTTCCCCGCCAACGGTGTCAATTTTGTTGTAGCAAAATACATTTTTACCGAGTACCGAGCGAAAATTTCATTCTTCAGGTCGATCTCAAGGAAGGTTAGCCATAT